CTCTCTCTCTCTCTCTCTTTCCCTCCTCTCCATCTCTGTTGTTCTCTCTTTCACTCGAAATGTCCCTCTTCTTGTGAAGCCCTGCAGCCGTGCGCTGCCCCCTGCCTCCTCAGAGAGAGGGAGAAACTAGGGCTCCAATTAACACACGTAATTAGGGCTTCATCTTTCTCCCCTCCTCCCATTCTCCACCTGTCTCTCTCTCTTTCTGTCTTCCTTCTCTCTTTTATTCAGATACTTTAGCTCTCTGATTCTGTGTGTGTGTTCTACTCCGCAGTGTTGTGGCTCTTGTTGTTGGACGTGTGACAGAAGCAGGGTATGACGCTACTGTGAATGGAAACGGGCCCGAGCTTGAGTGATTTAAATCCGTGAAAAGCATTTTACTAATCATCTATCTTTTTTTTTTTTTGTAGATCTCTTATTATTATTATTTTGTTGTTTATAGTTAATAATTTTACCACATAGAGGTGTACGGCCTTAAGGTTTAGAAAAATATTTGATAATATAACGTGGTTGACAGGTGACGTGTGTAAGGTCATTCTGTTGATTAATTTCTATTTCTGTAGCTTTGTGCTGGTTAGCCCCGCCCACTGTGAATTCTCACTGGTCTAAGGTCCTGTCATAACCATAAATTAATATCATATCATGTAGCAGTTTTGTATTCAGTGTGGACCAAACCAATCGCTGAAAACTTGGCATATTGTGCCAGGTTAGGACATAGTTTTGGATAAGTTTTGCCTCAAAATTGTCAAATCTACTAGAGTAGGTTGAAATGCTAAACGTAGTAGAGCAGATGGACAAAAACATCCATATCAGTTATTGAACATATGAGAAAGTTTGTATTTTTATGTCACTTTTATGTCATTTTTAAGATTTTTTGTTTTATTTATTTATTTAAGAAATTATTACTTTTATTAAACAAGTGAAAGTAAAGGCGTTTATAATGTTACAAAAGATTTCTATTTCAAATAAATGCCATTCTTTTGATCTTTTTATTCATCAAAGAATCCTGAAAAAAAAAATGTATCAAGGTTTCCAAAAATATTGAACAGATAAAAATGTTTCTTGAGCAATATCAGCATATTTCTGATTTCTGAAGGATGGTGTTAAACTGAAGACTTGAGTAATGATGCTGAAAATTCAGCTTTGCCATCACAGGAATAAATTACATTTTGAAATATATTAAAACAGAAAATAGTTATTTAAAATTCTAATAATATTACTATTTTTATTGTATTTTTAAATGCAGCCTTGGTGAGCATTAAAGACTTACTTCAAAAACATCTTCAGCCCCAAACTTTTGAACTATAGTATATATATAATATATAAAACACAATGTTGTCATGAATATGTGTGTGTGCGTGTGAGAAAGATTGCCCCTTCAAAGACACAGTAAATGTATATAGTAAATCTCCCCACACCACACCAGCTTTTATTCTCACATTCTCAGATTTAACACACACACTACACTACACCTGTTTCTCCTCACCTACTCTCTGTCTCTCTTTCTTTCTCTCTCTGATCTTGTTCTTGTTGTTGACAGTGGTGTGTTTTTTGTCTAAATGGTTCTGTCTCTTCACTTCCACCATTCACTTTCCTCTCTCCCTTCATCTCCCTCTCTTCCCTCACTGTCTATGTCACTCCTCCCATCTCTCGTGCATCGATTCAACCCGTCACCTTGTTTTCTCTATCATCTCCGCACCTTTCTTTCAATGCACTGCCATCACTCCATCAATCGTTTCATTTCACTGCATCTATCCTCACATCTCCCCCTTCACCTCTCGCTCCCTCCCTCCCCCTCTTCTTTTTCTGTTCTTCCGTTTTGTCTTCACAGTCACTGTATCCATCAGATTATAGACAGTGTCCATCATATTCACCAACATGACATAGTGCACAGGGACCTGAAGGTCAGTATGTAGCTCACACACTGCCTGTCTGCAACCTGTCTGTTTGCCGCTGCTTGCTCCTGTCTGTAGCTGTAGCCTGTCTGTCTGTCTGTCTGTCCGTCTGTGTATGGCATCATGGGCTTCCCTTAATCCATTGACTGCTTTCCCAAAATTCCCGATTCCTTACTTCCTGTGCTTGATCTTTAGCTTGACG